TAGTTGGCAGTTAATTTGCATATAGCCCTGATTAGCCAATGAAAAGGGTAGCGTCGTATGCCAATTACCATTTTTCTCTTTTATTAGTGTAGATAATTAATCTGCATTATTAACCGATTGATATTATTCCACATTATTAACCGGTTAATAGTTAATCCGCATTTTTAACCGGATTTTGTAATCAAAGAAAACACGATAATTTCAAGAGAAACATCAAAAGTGCTTTATTCAAAGTGATGTCCATCGCTAGCACCACATTTCCCCCATCTTTCAGGGAATTTGTGGAGACTGTCCCAACAGAACTTTCTTGTTTTGAGGCAGACCATTCAGAGACCCAGTTTCCCACGTCTTCGTACGTTGTGAAGTGCGGGCAGCGGCACCTGCAGGAGCAGGTGGGACGGGCCCGGCAGGGGTGGGGTCTGGGCGGGCATCGCATGGTGAGCCGCGCCCACCTCCCAGCGCGAGCCTCGGAGAAGCCCGACTGCGTCCCGACCGCCACGGCCTGAGTGGAGCACTGGGGAGCAGGACCAAATCTGGGCCCCTCTGGGGGGAGGGCGATGCCCCCGCCAGGAGGCCATGGGCACAGCTAGGGCGCGAAAACCACAGAACCGGTCTCTGCCCACAGGACCCCGGAGACCTCGAGCAGCGGGTACGAGGGCCGGCGTGCCCGTGCCCCGTGGAGCTGAAGCCCCGTGAGCAGGACTGTGTCTGCCCCGTGGGTGAGGCTTAGGTGGATTCCCACTCAGGGCACAGGCCTGCGCTGTGGCTCTATCACGGGTGGGGGGCCCGCAGGAGGCAGCCGATGGATGTTGGATGTTTCACTCTCACATCGATGTTTCTCTGTCTCTCCCTCTCCGTTCCTCCCTCTCCGTTCCTCTCTCCCTCTCTCTCTCTCTCTTTAAAAAAATATGTCCTGCCCTGTTTAGCCTGGAGCTTGTCCAGGAGCCTGCCCGTCAGACCTGGACACGGGGAGGGTGGTTGGGAGCCGGTGTCTGGTCCCTCCTGGGACTCCCGGGCGGGAGTGGAGGGGCAGGGTCTCAGGGCTGTGGCTTGTCTCTCAGGGTGAGAGGCCTCCAGTGACCACCGCACAACAGGAAGCGACCATGTGTGGCCCTGTGCTCCACAGGCGTATCAGCCTGCGTGTGACACACGTGACCAGTGAGCTGGTGGCCAGTTGTGCTTGTGCCCGGCTCCCCTGCACCCTCCCTGCTCATGACCCCTGCCTCCTGCACACGACCCCCTTCCTCCAGAGCCTCCCCTCAGCCCTGCCCGCAGTGGCCTGGTCTGGGATGTGGTCTGGGCAGCAGCTCAGTCCCTGCTGTGTCCAGGCCTGGCCTGGGCCATCACCTTGCAGTCACATGTAGATAAATGCTTGTTGCATGTGTGAGATGCTCACCTGACCACATGTGCAATCTCACATGCCTGGCCCTGCCCGTGAGAGGGCGAGGCTCCGTGTACGTGGCTGACGTGTGTGCATGGCTGACTAGTGTGTGTGCGTGCTGACTGGGTGCAGTGTCACTGTCATGCGGTCCGTGGTCGCAGGCACCACCCCACCCCAGGGGTCCATGGCTCCGTGTGCTCCCAGTAAAACGCCCGTTCCCGCCTGTCATCGCTGGGCCTGGGAAGTGTGTTCTGGCCGCCACAAGGCCCATCTTCTCTGGGCCCCCCCCCTCCCCAGACGCTCAGCGGGTGCAGCAGAAGTCCAGGCTTCGGGGTGAGGGGGGAGCAGGTGAGCCAGAGCCTGCCGGGCCCCTCTTGGCCGTGCCAACCTGGGGGTGCCGGTCCCTGGGGCTGAGAGCGAACCCGGGGGCGGGGCTGGCGGGGCTTG